GCAGTTAAACAAAAGAAAGTGAAGTGCAAGTACCTTTGTACAAAGCGCAGCTGCAACGACGTACATGTGTACATACGTATGTAGGTAAAAAGAGGAAAGTGCAGTGGAAATATGTATATATATATCGTCGCTCGAATAAAGAAACAGTGTAAATGCCAAATACACTTTTATTCGATAATTGCACTATTGGATAGACAATCCTTTAATCTATTTGAAAAATGTTTAGTTTTCTTAAATATCTCTTTGGCTCAATAATTTATTCCCGAAAGACCAAATTGTATTTGTATGGTTTGTAATGGTTTATAAAAACTCATATAAACTTATAACTTTATAAAAAATACTAACAGCCGCATTTGCAAGTATGCACTCTGACAAAATTTTAGCAATCAAGCACTATGTAGTTTTAAGTCATAATAGATATAAGCAAAATCGAAGAAGATGCCAAAATAGTAATTAATTTTTTCTTATTTTCTCTATAGAGTGCTTCACAATTATACATCAAGTGACAAGTTGCGACCAATAATTTGTATATTTTTTAATTTTTTTATGAAAAATTAAGTTCATTCTTTAACAAACACCATATCGACAGCCAGTTCGCCCTATCTTATTTTCAATATATGCACACACATTTTTTCAGTTGAGATACGGAGTTTTTGAACCAAATTCTGAGATAGGGCGTTCAACCGAATTCTGAGAATGGCTGCTTTCGAACCGGCTGTCGATATGGTGTTTGTTAAAGAATGAACTTAATTTTTCATAAAAAAATTACAAAATATACAAATTATTGGTCGCAACTTCTCAATAAGTGGGTGATGTATAATTGTGAAGCACTCTATATAATTGATTCGTAAATGTAAATATTAAAAAAATAGCTGTAAATATTAATATACAGTGGTCGAAATAATTTTAAAGATTTAGTCAAAGAATGAATTATATTTTTATAAGAAAATAACCTTAGTTAAATACTTACATTACTTTCTTTTTATTTGCTATGTGCATCGTTAATGTAAATACTAAAAAAAAAATTTTTCTAACATCATATTTGCTTCCTGAATGTGTTATATAATTTTGTATATCTTAAACTTCTTCACCCTATTTCTGTCCCTTTTTAAAAATATTAATATATTTTTTAAACTTTATTTGAAATGTTTAAATTGGTGTTGAATTAACTTAATTAATAGTCTTGTAAATATGAGCATGATTTTATCTAAATAAGCTGATTTTTACTAAACTATAGTCATCTGCTTTTTGTATAAATAAAATCCATTATTTATGAATTATATTTCATTTGAGAAATAATAATTTGTTACTTTATTTTTCAGATATCAGAATCTAACTGGTTGCATCCACAATAATAATTTTACCATTTTATTTTAATTTCAGATTGCTGTGCAAAAGACGTGTTGAAGCATCAGCAGCTACGTTTATAAAAAATATATATTTTAATATATAAATTATTTATTTTTAGCTATTTAAATTTTTTTAATTTTTCGTTTAGATTGTATATATCGGAGTCATTGGATAATGAAGGTCTTCAACATGTTGGATGAAAGGGCAAGGGACAGTCTGACAAAGCATCCTTAGAAATGTCTCGATTCAGACGAGGTAGTTGCTTAATTACTAATGAACTTCAATTTTGCATACTTATAATTGTTTTATTTATTTTTTTAATATTTAGCGGAAACTTATACTCTCATCAAATTGCAATTTAATCTAACTGAGGATGAGGAAAATTACGAATGTTTGCAAGCGCCAGATGAGATAATTGTTTTAGACACTACTGCTGCATCAAGCCAGTCACAAGACATAACGCTACAAGCGCCACTATCGAATTCCGAAAATTTGGTTACACATGATGTCAATGTGTTATTCTCGAGCGGCTCCATGGATATAAGTAATTTATGCAACTGGCCGCTAGAAGCTACACATAGTCAAAGTCTATATATAAGTCGAAAAAACGCAATCAAATTTTGCAAAGTTGTAATGAAACTCAATTTTTGTGAACCAGTATAAATGATTTGCAACTGTTTATAAACATC